AAACTGGACTATTATCTAAGCTATGTTGATCCTAGACAGTCCTGGATAGCCAAGAAAACAGCGAGTGGCTCGTTCCATGAAATGAAAGTTGCTGTACTTGTATCCACAGGAGTAGGAGAAGGGATAGATAGATATCTGGATACACCCACTGTGATATAATCCAGGTGCTCATTTAACCCCTCCGACTGCTCTCCTCTCCTGGCATTACTTAAAAGCCCCCATCAAGTGATTTAAATATTTGTTAGCTGAAGTAAACTAATATGCACAAAGACACTTGAACCTAAGTACACAATTTAATCAACTATGTGTTAACAACATGAAAAAGATTTATTTTAATAAATCGAAATTAAAATAAAATGAACTTATTTAGGCTAGTAGAGTTGGGATGATGTTATAGATGACATTAAAGTTGTACATAACTTAGCTCATCAGGACAGTTCTCGGCTTGAGACCCTGCCTATCTTTTCCAGTTTGTCGTCCTCACTGCTTTCTGCAGGTCGTTACACTCGACGGTCGGCAAATAATGGATGCCTACTAGTCCCTGCCCAATGTGGGAACTGGAGAATGAAGAAACAAGCGCATATTTGTAGTATCTGCTCTAGATGTACACTAAGCATGTATATTATACTAACATCAAGCATGTTTATTTAAATAAAACATTTCATCTCTCCCTCATGCTCACATTCACTCCTGTCCAATTTGGAAGGGCTTATGTCTCACATTCCAACTGTTACATCTTCTGCCTTCCTCTACACGTCCTGTAATGATAGTCAAGTCTTCTACGTCAGGTGCCATCTCTCGTACAGACTCAAAATGACAATCAGTCAGACAGAACCAGTTCTGGAATCTATGCTTGGAACAATCGACGCGCCCAGAATGCTAACAATAGTTCTGGGGCGAATCAAATAACAAATCTCGTGGATTTACTCTCCGGGATCAATCTCCGCATTAGCCTCCCGAGAGTTAAACACATTTCAGTGTGTTAGCTGTATGTAATACAGATTCACATTAACCACACGTGAAAAGATTGCCAAAGTTATCTTCACGCTTGTGATTTCAAAAACATGATAGTTCATTAAATTTCAATGGCAACAACAACATTTAGGTTTTACAACATTGAAACACATGTGCCCGAAAAACATTCATGACACTATCAAATAGGATATAAAGCAATGTGACAGTGCCCTACGAGAATGAAGAAATGTCCGCCTAGGAGTACTACAAAGTGATGAAGACACACACTTGAGCAAAAAGACAGATCTCTATCATAAAATATAGATGTGAACCTAATTTCGATCTTACCTGGAAAAATGAAATCACGATGCCAAAAGTTCTGTCTCAAGCTTAGGTTAAGCCCAACAGATGGCATGTGCTAGACAGGATCTCATTTACCAGACCTAGCGTTCACCACTTTATAACTTTTATCAAGCTCCTCCTACATTACGCCTAAAATCCTTTTCATTCACGGGTATCACAGCTCCTCCCCTGTGGGTAAGTTTATTCGCTGTCAGTCAGGGCTGTACAACACTTATTTAAATTCCCACGCTAGGATCTCCTGGTTCAATTAAGCTGGTCAAAGCTAATAGGCCAAGTCACACCTCTGGCTACTTCACCTGCCATCACAATAAAATCCGACTTTGTCAATTCTTCTGTTAACACTTTCTGCTCACTGTGTCAATAGTGACCGTCGGACCGGCCGTCGAGTTAGGTAACCTCAGGGGGAATTAACCACAATTAGCCGGAGTTAGCTGCTCCTAAAAGTCTGGCTAGGAGATGAAATATCTGACACCAACAGATGGTGTGCAAATCTCCAGTCAGTAAGTCTGCTTGGTCAGTCTTATCTCTGTACCTTAACACTTAACGTCTGGGAAAAAGTTTTAGTGTGTGATATCGCCAACATCCCAGGAGAATTAAATGCTTGTTCATTTCGCCTACTTAAAATAAAGAATGTCTCCAAATCCCTATTTTCCTGTATACTTTCAAAATACAAAGAAATAAAAGTAGGTTAAGGAAAGACCTTCTGACGTAGATTTGACTTGAAAAAGAACAAAAGCTTTAAAACAAAAATGCTAGAGTTGGTTTCTGCAAAGTCCTGTAAAAAAAAAAAAAAAAGGTAAATTCGGGAGATGTGAACCAGCGTCACTGCACACGGTTATAAACCATAAGTGCTCTGCCACCAGTGCGGACAGCTGATAAGAATTGTCTGCCTGTGTCGCCGTTCGCACGTAACTCTGTAGCTACAGCAACGTTCCTCCATTTACCCCAGAGTCGCAGCTGGATTTGAAAGCGAGCTTCTTATCGTCTGCGTTAACACGGCTCCCGCGTAAAGGGTACGCAACTATTTTTTTTTTAAATATTACAGAATAATCACTGATTTTAGTAACATTTTCACCTGCCGATTTTTAAAGCTGCCGTGTATTTTGGAGTCTCGGTAATGCAGTGGCTGGACACAACGCCAGCAAACGGGTCGAAAGGTTTATTCTGGAGAACAATTCTTCTTTACTCCTACGTTCACCCAGTCAAACTAGTACCAGAAACATCATGGGAAATAAGGAGAACTGGCCTCATGTTGATCACATTAAAATTGAGCTCCATTTGGTCTATAAAAACATGAACCTGACATCGTATGTGCTGCTCACCAATGGCGTGAAAAAAGTTTCTTTACTTCTTTTGATTGGTAAATGTTTCGTTGCTGTCTCTTGCTCTCCAAACTTGTAATGTTGACGATAAACTGATTTGAAAAACATTCCACATGTGGGTTCTGTGGCCCCATTTGTGTGGTGGGGTGGAAGAGAAAAAAGCAGTCGTAAAAGTCGACTTGTTAGGATGTTTCTTTCTAAGTCTGAGTGTGGGGAAATAGGGTTTAGGAAGGGGTAAATAAGTACGGGGTAGCATCGAGAATATGCCAGAACCCGTGGGAGTAAAGACAGGAACACAGATCGCTTTGGTATGACAACCGGGAGAGTCTGTAAACAGGTGGTCCGGACGCATAAAGCCTATCAATTAGCTTGTAGATAATCAAACAGGACGAGACGAATCAGAGATCGACAGTACTGAGAACGAAGAGGTGACGGATGGCATTGAAACACGACGGTAGCTCTCCCCGGGACTAATCAGGATAACACAGATTTCTCAGAGTTAGTGAATCTCAAAAGAGATAGCGATTAGAGCTTGGACGAAGACAAAGCAACCCTGGGAGATTATTTCTCCTTTAGATAAAATAGGACCATCAGGACAGAGAGAAGATGGAAAAGGCTGAAGAGTGGAAGGCGGTTATGGATCACCCAGGGGGAAAAGTGAACCCTAGCTAGGGTGAGGGTGACAGTCAGAGCCTGGACGTTTAGCTGGGCGGTCGATAAGAACTTAGGCTTGGGAGTAGAAGGCTGACAATAGTAAACCTGGTTAAGCTTCCCTAGAAGACATATTTCTACAGGACTTTGAGAGAGACTGGAGAAACAGTCGATAGGTTATAACCTGCTCGCAATGAAGTAACGTCCTAGCAACATGTATTGAAGTTATGAATCATCATTGTATTAGGGAACTTATCGTCATATATGAATAGCCAACAATAATGTACTGAAGTGTTCCTACTGTTGTTTGAAGGTAATATATTCGCGCTGCTTAAATTGACATTATATTGTTTAACTCCTTGAGTCCCAGGGGGTTTAGCATCAGAGGCCCAAATGATAGTCAAGAGAGACGTAAAATAGGCGCATCTTGTGTTCATCGGGCCTCTAGAACGTATGATACGTTCCTTGGGACTCAAAGAGTTAATAAACAAACTTGTTATTAATCGATTTGTTGGATCACTGGCACTGTTGTCAAACACAATTATAAAACGTACAAACATTATCGTATATACTCTGTTTCATTGAGGCACATCTGAATAAGCTTGGGAGGTGTGGAAGATACAACTGTGTGACATTAGTGCATCTACCAACGAGACGAGGAACAAGCGTTCCCACATGTATATGTATATACCCGTACGAACGTGCTTCATAAGTTTTGAGGAATCCTGTTCAATCCAATTTACAGTTTTTTTGACAGCAAACAGCTATGCATTGATGTCGACAGTGGTATCGAGGAGCGACCGTTTAGTACTAGTGCTACATTACTCAACGTTAAATTACCTAGTAAAATAAACTAGACAGTCAACAAATGCTGGGGTTGGCTCTGCAACCTCCTGTAAAAAAAACGCTACTAACTTTGACACATGAACAATATTGTATTGCTTTTTCACTATATTATTATCATAATCTAGTTCCAATTGTTTTATACAGTATGGGGATAGCCCCTTATAACTCATTAGCTTCATATGTTGCAAACGAGTCTTTTATGTTGCTCACGTTATCATTTGAACTAAGAATATATGCACATTTATGTTTGGCAAAGAAAAATTATGTTACTCACAGACTTGAGAAAACTCGTTTATAAATGACAGAAAGGTTCAAAGGTAAAGTCCTTTAGATTTTTTCTTTTCGTTCAAGATCGTTATTAATAAATGATTAACCTAAAGGGTTTATTTTGGGACGCAAAAGCCACAGGAAGAAATTTTTCTGTTACAATAACCAGATATTATTGACCTTCATAAATAAATATATCCAAGAAACATCTGCAGTACATAGACAATTCCTGTCTATATTTGTGCTATGGCACAAAGTGCCACCAAGCGGAAAAGGATCACCCTTGGAGAGGTCGCAGAAACCCCGTTTAGCAGTGAGGCAATATTTATGGCCCGGCTACATAGGGCCCCGCCAAAAATACAGGGTGCTGCTTCAAACAAACAAACAAAAAAATGGATTACACATGTGAACGACGCGTACTAAGATTGCATAGAAGATTCCCCAATTTCTAAAATGCTGCTGCCTTTGCTTGACAAATGTAATCTTATTATTTTTTTTTTTCCAAAGTAAAATCGAAGTAAAACAACTCGTGTGCATAATAAAAGAATACTACTTTTATTCGTGGAACTAGTACAGAAATACAAAATCATATCCAAACTATTTACCAACAACTGTTGCAGGTGAACAAACATCTGGGACGTTAAAGATGCTATTGTCATCGATGGTAGTCTGGACGTTAAAGAAAAATACCGACTCCCTGTCTTTGCCATCTGCCGCTGGAATAAAGGGAGAAAAAACATAGCTGACAAACTGTTCAAACAATGTTTGACTTCATACAAGCAAAGACAATAAAAGTCTTGAGTCTTGGGGAGTAGGCCAGGGGGAGGGGGGGGGGGTAGAGAAGTCTAATGTCAGTGTAACATTTAATTTTACCCCACGGCAATAAACGCGATGAATATAACATATAATACGTCTGCATCTGTTATAAAACAAATTAAGAACAAAGGTTACCCAAAGCTCAAATTGGGAGGTTTAATGTGAGAAGAAAATTGATTGGCAAGATGAGAAAGAAAAAAATTACACAAAAACAACACAAACAGATCTACTTACATACAAATTGTCTGAGGATTGGAATTGCTGGTGTGGTTGTTGTTACCGCAGCTGTGACTGTTCCTATACCGGGAAACTGTAACTCCCATCCTTCAAATTTAGTCTGAGTGCTCCCCACACCAATATAGGTACTCACGTTACCCAGCTGGACAGCATTTGCTGGCGACGTTAAAAAAAAGCAATCTGAGTTCATTTAATGTTCAGGATTTCACCATGCCTGCAATACATAAAGAAGCAACAAATAGAGTGGTTTGGCCTCTTGATGCGAATGCAAACCGACCAACTGCCTCTACGAGCATACAACGAACAGCACTACTGCCCTAGAGCAAGAGGCAGACCGAGAGTACGATGGATAGACTATATATCAGAGATCCTGAGGCAACACGGACTAACAACAACACGTGCAACACACCTGGCCCAGGATAGAAAACTGCGACTCCCCACTACGCTGTGAGGCAATTGTGGACAAGACAAGACAAGACAAGACAAGACAAGACAAGACGACAAGACAAGACAAGTAAATTACCACGCAAGGATTCGCTGCATCCTAACGCTGGTCAAAACATGATATATTCCGTGAAAAATACGTGATAAAAAAATAATAAATTCCCAGTAATCTTATTGGTATACAATGAGTAAAGATAACTGAGTATTTGTGTGTAGTTATTTATGTAACACGTCATTTTTAAGAACAATGATTTTACAAAGTTATCGACTGCCAAATGGTCTGAAGCAGAATCGAAGCTGGTATGTGGGAAATACAAGATAACATTCATAACTGCTGGGGGACAGGTGCTGATATATATATATATATATATACATACACACACACACACAGAGACCATTGCCTAACGTGTGGTCTTAACGTGAACCTGGGTCTGTCATCCGCCATGTTAGAAGCTCGTGGGCTGTTCACTGCTCAGGTTGGAGGGAGAGTTGTGAAGGAAGATTCTGGAGCTATTGCTGTAACTACAAATAGTCTGACTATGGAAGTCGTGGCTGTGACAAAAACAGTACCATGGCTAGAGACACAGACTTTTACTGGGTTTTCTCAGTGACTCGATGGATATGTTTAGGAAGATAGAGAAGGGCTGGGTCCAGAGGCAGTGGCTGGTGGCTCTACCGCTTTCACGATTGAAAAGGATTAGTTTCATTTTGTGCCAATACATGTGAGAGTACAAAGAAATAAGCAACCAGGCAAGCAGGCAAGTCATGGACCAGGCTGATGTAGAGAATTAGGACGTTTGCGTGAACCAGTTGAGAACTGTGAATCTGCAACCATAGTCAGACTGCAAGAACACCAAGTTAAACGGGGTGTCGCCAAACAGTCACACTACGCGGGTAGTCAAAGAAGAAGAATAAACCAACACAGAACTTGTGTCGTCAGCCGCTACACGCTGCGAGATTTACTAAGGAGGGGATCCGAGCACTTATGTACTGAGTGGTTCAACGTGCAATGAGGATAGTATGTCGACTAACTGACTAACTAACTTAATGTTTACTCTTCTTGCCAGGGCATTTTAAAATAAAGGGTTTTTCTTGTGACCTCTCCCACAGTGTTTATATACGTGTGCTTCACTTGGAAGCTATAAGCCCTACTTTTCATTTTTTTTTAACTGCTGTAGTTTAATGTGAAGACTTATAAATCTAATAAATTACCTGGTAAACAGCGAGTTGCAATAGTCTGCAATTTGAGATCTTTAGGTAGTTGGATGCATTTTCCATCTGTTTCGTTTATAGATAGTGCTGTGTCCTGTAGATGTAAATAAGTATCGCTTTTTGCAAACTTATAAGATTTCTTCAATGGCAAATTATAGATCGACAGAAGATGTCGAGGCTGATCTCTGTTTCGTTAAATAGATGTGTGCAAGCTGAATATAAATGATACTACTAGTGACGGGGACCAAAATGCCATGGACCGTGTTGCGTGGAGGGCGCAAATCAAGAAAGGAATGAGAACGAAGGGGAAAAAATTATTGCAGAAAGGATGACAGCTAACCAACCGTGATGGCTAAAACGGTCCCTAAATCCTGAGCAATAACGGCGGAAGACATTTCTTAACGCAGGCGGGTCTTGCTAGTCCCACTCGCCATCGCCGTGGGCTGTGAGTCAAATGCCTCCTTGTAGCGCAACATAACACTATCGTCTGGAAAGACGGAAAGGTGCTAACGATAACAACATTATGCGATTGACAAAGCGCTGTCTGAGAGGCGTACACGCAAGACAAGAGAGACAAGAGAGTGTTTAAGATCCATTGCAACAAACCTTTATTGTGTAAATATAACCTGCTATTTTGGGTTCCTTTATATATTTTTGCGATAAATAAAATGTTGCATTTTAAACGTGTGTACTGTGGCACACTGTATACTCCACAGATTGTGGAACGGCATGATCGCCCACGCTAGTCGGCAAGGCACTTGATGATGATGACAGTGGTTAGCGATGACGTTTTAGTCTATAAGGTATGTGGTGTACTGTCTGACTTTCTAATTAATTGTTTTCCTTGCTCTGAGAACTGAGTATACATTTATTTATATACCTGCAACTTTGGAATCTATTACCTCCTTTTTTCTTTTTTTTTTTTTTAATGCAAATAGTGTTGATGAATTTATAGAGTGTTATTTGAAAAGAATGTTCTTTGTAGTACGAAGGGGAGTTGATAAGTATCTCCAAAACGGTTGTTTAAAAAAAAACATTAGACGATAACTTGAAACCGTTTATATTTTACACATACACTGTCCCTTTATTTGTCAACATAATTTCCAAAAACATTGATGCACCTGTCGCATCGTTTCATCAGTCCGCCCAAACCTGCTGCACACAACTGAGTGCTCTGTTTTGTTAACCACATTCACTTCACATTTAACTTCTGAGTCATTCGCGAAATGTCTCCCGCCAAAGTGGCTTTTCAGTGGACTAAAAATTCCAATCGATCATGCCATTACTCGCCTTTCATCTCCGGTCATCTCCTTTACCCGCTGCACGGATGCGTCTGTTCAAATGGTATAGGCCGTCCAGATCGGACTTCATCAATAATTTGAGGGGACAAAATTTACCCAGCTATGCACCGCTTTACGGGATAAATATTTGTCAGTATAAACATGAAAACATTTCAGTGCTTTCTTAATATCCTAACCCAAACAGGGTAAATTCACTGATCACGGGACATGGCTAGCTGACTGGTGAATTCTCTGAGCGACCGACTCAGTTTAGCTAGTTTAACTGAGTTTAACTAGCTCACCCAAGACGGCTGGGTTTTGAAATGGGCTTGAATATACGAGTATGAGTGAAGTTGAGGTATGCACTTAAATCCCAGCAGACGCAGATGCAAAGTAGGTAGTAAAAATGCATGTCTACAGAGAAAAATAGTGTTTAGCAATATTACCTCTTTCCGGACAACAATGTTTTACTTTTCTAATGGGAGGTTTGAAATCACAACCCACGGCGAAAGCTAATGTGGCCAGCAATACGTCGTATTAAGAAAAGCCAGTCTTAATTAGTGTGTGGAATTGCATGACCAGCATTAGCATTGCAATTTCTTCATAAAAGTTTAGCTTGTAACCTAAATGCATTTATTTTCTCAGAGACAAAGCATAATGTCCCAAAGACACAATATAAATAGCTCAGGTTAATAATATATCCTTCAAGGGCGTTACGTATTTCATTATCGACTGACTCTAACTGAAATACCAGTGGAAACACCAGTTAGTATAACATTTTCTTCTTCTTTTTCTTGTTCACCGGCTGTGAATTCCGGCGGTAAGTCGCGGTTGTTCGTCCAAAATGGACTTTTGGCTTTTACCTTGACATGAGTTTTGCGTGTACATCCCTTTTACTGGCTTATTTGTTCGCAGTTCTCGTTCCCCGCCTCTCCGGCAGATGTACTCCGACTTCGGGGGAAGACGTCAAGCCTGTTTCTAGGTTGACTGTGGCCATTGTTTTGTGTGGGTCGAGATGTTGCCTCATTTGTGTGGTGTCCTCTTTGACCTTTAACAGGTGTGGCCCCCGGAATGTCGTCCTTAAGGCAGCTCTATGTAGAATTGTCAGCCCTCAAGGGAAGGCAGGGGCAGATCATGGGCATTCCCCGCCTTCCAAGGAGGCTTCCATAAATGCAGAGCCGACACATGATGCTCTGGTTCTGGGCTCACCCAAGGAATCGTCACGTCCTGTCCATGACTGCTTAACCTCACAACCGTGTATTGAGCTTCCCGCGCTACAAGGCTGCGCTCTCCGGAGATCAGCGGGGAGCAGCCCGCAGGTCTAGGACGTTTGTGGCCACACAAATAGGTACATTCTTTTTCATCTTACGTTAGACACCTTTAACGTTGTTTCAGCTGTGCCCTTAGCACGACAGAATGGGGAAGCAAAATGCGTCAGGTGTGGCTTCACCTGTGTTTCAATTAGCGATCAAAACTGCTACCTTGACATGTAAACGGAGTTGCTACTTCAATTCATTTATCTGTTACTGACAACTTTAATTCAACTACCTTTCCTTCGGTGATCTGTAGTTTGATCAACGCTATGTTTGCTTTATTTTAGTTTCATGTCATCTCCGTTCTTACTTAAAAGTATCATCTACAAACTCAAGATCCTCCAATTATGTGTTTTCCACACAGCCAATGCTAGTACTTCCTGGTCACGTGTTTCCACCACCCAGTAAATATTTGAGCCAGATAATAGAGGAGATAATGTGTATTCCTATTTGACTAAATATTTCAACTGCACACTAATTATTGAAACCACAGTCTGTTCGCAAATGCAACTATGACCCCTAATTAACTACTTTTAAAAAAGTTACTAATGTCACTGTTGTAAGATATTATTACATTTTGCTGCCATGGATTATTTTACTTACATCTGTTAAATTATACACAATACGTAGGCCATTACTAGTTGTGCGGACAGAGATTCTTTCATTAGGGAAGTCAAATGCAATAAGTCCAGTAATCTGAAAAGCAAAAATGCAAAAGTAACGGTAATCTGAAACAATTTATGAAGCCCTAATTAATCAAATTGGCGTCTGTGGCTTAGGCGTTACGAACGCGCTTTGTAATGCCGGGGTACCGGATTCGACCCCAGCTGCAGGGCTTGCGCCTTGCGATGGTTTCGACAGTGGTATCGAGAAGCCGACGTCCAGAAAGCAATGGCAAACTACTGGACGTAAACTTGCCTAGGAAAACCACAACAGACAAAAAATGCTGGGGTTGGTTCTGAAACGTCCTGTAAAGGATACGCAGTATGTACCTACTAGATCTGTGCACATTGATTTGTATAACGATCATGTGGGGCAAATGTTTAACTAAACGAAGTCAGACAGAACGTGTGGCAAATGTTCTAACTTGTACAACGATGCTAGACTGAACGCGTGGCAAATGCTTTAACTTGTACAACAATGTCAGACTGAAAAACTAACCAACATATCATGAGAATCACCCGGTACTTAGGGCCCTTGACGACAGCCGGAGTGGGGCTTTAAATTGTATGTATGTAATTCTACCCCATCAGGGCCCTGCAACGAACTGCCAATACCCAGGGACAGAAAGTGCTACCATTCGGATGTGGATGACTCAGGCATGTCCCATAAACCCCGTACAACCATTAGGTTATATCAGCCAGTGTAGAGCCTAAAATAACACAAAATTGCGTCCTGAATTGGGGCGCGATTGTAGATAACTTGCTTTAAATTAGGTAAATTCGGAGCGTTTAAAAATAATTTCCAGTGTCAATTCCTTTGGAGAAAAGAATTAAAAATACTCAACCACGTTCAACCTGCTATTAGCTAGCTGTAGCTGCCAACAGTCTCCGGCTATATTTGTGGTCTTGTTTATTTGCGCCACTTTCGTGACTAAAGTTCTGGTATTTGCGCTGTCTCTGGGCTTAATGCTTCTTTCCTCCAAGTCAGACCGCTCATTCCCTATACTGTTGTCAACTGCGTTCTTCTTGCACTTTCATTTCTGTTTCCTCCTTGGTTCAGCTCCTTCTGATTTGGCCAGGCGTCTATCGCAGGAGTGCGAACTTCTCAACATAACGTCCTTTGAACTACCATTTATAGTTTTAAAATGTTGAGTATTTTGCTAGAGATCTGATAGCATAAATGTCATCTGATTATCTTCAGTAACACATATGTCACTAAATACTTCGCACTGAAACTGAATCCGAAAAGCTGGAGTGTCACATAATCTGGCATGTAAAACTGCGACCGAAGGCATGAAAGAGAAGCATCTGTGAGCTGTGTTGGTCGACGCTCCAACATTGGCTTTTGACACTGAAACAAAAACGCACTTGACCAGTCACGTCAAATGATGCATTTTCATCAACAATTGCGTCACGTGTATTTTCACTGCACTCTCAAAAATTTTTTTAAAGGTTCAACACAATGTCAAAATGTTGAATATTGTTGCAACATTTCTAAAAAGAATCAAAACATCCGACATGGTACCACAAGTACCGTTTTGTTCTGCAACGGTCAAATAGTACCTATCTGTACGAAAAGTACCAACTTCAGCAGTCCTGCTTGAGCATACATGATTACAAGATTGGGCGAGGAGAGGAGTGGGTCAGAGTACCAGCGGAAAAGTCAGACCTGTGTAGGGTTATGATCACATTGGGACGGGTGTGCAGAGAGTGGCCAGAGGGTGCTACGGGGGTTAGGTCCAACAGTTGATCCACGACAATTTACCCCCAGGTGATCTGATTATCTATACAGATGGTTCGGTGCTGAGACGAAAGAGAAGTGCCTGGGGGTTCGTAGCGAAAGCCAATTGAAAATCTTTAGTCCAAGACAGCCTAGCATATGACCTCACAACGTCTAGAATGAGAATGGAGCTCTCCGGTAGCTAGAGAACAAGATGCATACACATGTAGTAAATGTAAGAGTATCTGAAAGCATGCTGAAAAGGGTGAAGACAACTATGCTTCCAGCAGAGTGGCAAGCTTTACTGGAAAGGTCACGGGTAGTGAGCATACTTTTGGAAGAAGCAGCGGAATCAGTAGAGAAAGAACATTATAATGGCCTGAAGAGAATGAGGCACCCGCTACCAGAGGATCTGGCCGGCTGACTACACTCAGAGGAAAGGCAAGACAGACATTCAACCAGATTGTGACCGGTACCATCAGTATTGGAACTCTACACTGGCTGCTGAAGATGAGAACGGAGCATGCATGGGAATGCCTCGAGTACTGTGATGTCAATTGTTGACTCAACTCAACTCAACTCAACATGATTACAGGGGGAGGGGGGGAACTTATAGTGGCTTTAAAGTGTACTGTGAAGACAGAGACGTCCTCAAAAAGACATGCTACATGATGATGATGATGTTGATGGTGATAGTGGGGATGATGACAACGATGATGATGAAGAATTAATATTATCATCTCAAGAAATACCATTACTCCTTACGTCATTTTGAAATGCAAAGATTAATGCCTGAAACTTATCAGGCAGACAGACTTTTGTTGGATCTCTGGCAGCCCCAAGTACACTGCCTAGTACTGCTGAAGCAATGACGGCAAACAACATCTTAGAAAGTCAGGTCAGAAAACAGTTTCTTCAGTATGAAACAGAAAACTAGAGGAACTAGAGAACATTGGTCTTTTATAAGTCTTTTGCTGACGAGTGGGCCGAAACAATGGTCTTATCGTGCAATTACAATCAATGGGACAGCAAGCTTATCTTATTGTGAACGTACTGTGGTCTGTATGTGCAATTAAAATTTAAGGTAAGCAGTTTCATTTTATTTCATCAGCCAGTTGAGTTAAGTAACATTAAACACTTAAGAAAAATTTTCTATACCTGCACATTTTTTTTTTTTTGTGTCAAGAAATATGTTATTATAAACAATAAATCCTTGTGACTGTCGAATCTGTAATTATCGTGCAAGTATAGTGTAAAAAATATTATGAATTGTATAAACATCAAATTTGGCAACAAATAATAATACTAATAATAATGATAATAATGATAATAATAATAAACATAATCTTTATCATAATGGTAGACTTTTTTTGTAATATGGATGGTCGTCGTTATCATTATTATAATCATCATCATATGCCTGGTGGTGTTAACAATAATCTTCTCTTGTCAACATTAATTCTCACTATTTATTAAAGAATCAACTGCTGATCATCTAGTGTCTCCTTGCAAACCCTTTTCAGCATTTTCACCTTATGTCGATCACTGCTTCGAACACTCGGTTAACATGAACTCAATTTTGGTCCCAGCAGGGATGTATTATTTTAAGTGGTTCGTATGATTTTTCTAGCACAAACCTCTTGATTTGTGATGCTTTGGAATTCGTGCCAACAAGGTGTCCTCTTTCTTCCAGGAATATAAAACAGTAAAATCTTATTTGCACGAATTCCGAGAGGTCGAAAAATCAATAGTTTGTGTAAAAAGAATGCATGCTTTGCAGTGACTAATACACGTAATGCATGTAAGTCCCTGTCAGTGACTTGGTCCTGAATTGTCTTCACTCATTGTCAAATAGGTGATGCGGCAAGTACCACACAAGCAGTATTTATTTCTGATAACATTTCCTGGTACTCACTTTAAACTTGGCATGGTTGTAATCAGGTGCAGTTCTGGAAAGTAAGGGTAGTGACCAACAGGGAAGAACCGCTGGTCTAACTGCTACGCTGTTCCTGTTTCTGTCATGCTGTGCGAGCACACAATTATTCCAAAAGTTGGTTAGTTCGACTTTGCTCTCACCATTTACTCAATCACACACTAGACCTTCAGCCTAGTTCATTTCTGATTGGTCAACCTTGAGCAACGTGTCCTTGGCACAAGGTGACGGAGGTGTTTCGCAATGTCGTTGATATCGCGTGTTGTATATTGTATTAGCTCTTTTAACACTCCAAAAACATCGACAAACTGGGTCGAACACAAAACCCCTTTAGAGAATGATGAAACCTAAAAGCAAGACAATCCAGAAAGCAAACAACAGAGCGGCACACCCGTAACCTGCAGTAGAGTAGACCAGCCCAACAAGTTCGTCAATAGAACGTGACCTACTTTGTTTGGGGAGACTAAGGTCAAACTTAATCAAAAGTGAAGTTTCGAATCAGCAGTTTGGGAATAACTGCTTTACGTGCTTACTAGTGAGGGCATTTTCATTTTTCACCAGAAAGCGAATTTTACTAGAAAGTACTTTCTTGAAATTTTACGTTGGGATTTGCTACGCTATGTTTCTAGACTGGACCTCGCAGACAATATCTTTAGGACCAATACTATTTTGACGAGTTTTCTTGTATCGTGGGGGTTTGGGGAGGGTGGTGGGAGGGGGGGGGACAAAAATAAACAGCAGCAGCTTTTTATGCGTATGCTATTATGTAAAGTACCTTGCAGTGTCGTTTACAAAACATACATTGATACGTTATACGTACATATTATAGCCTGAGGAAATTTTGTAACTGTGAACTAGTAGAATAGGTTACTTTATAAAGATATTTTTTAATGAAAACATATATTTTCTATTAACGTCAAATATGTTTGATTTTAAAATTTATCATTTTTTTAAAACTCTTAAGCAACATTGTTTGCATTATAATGCATTGTCATATATGAAACCTGTGCTTGTAAAATTTGAGCTTTATATTTTGTTAGGAAATAGTGTAAAAATCGACCGGAAGTTCCACCAAGACATACACACGAAAACAAGTTTAGTAAATACGATGAAAGAGAAAGAGGTAAACTAGAACACAATAGGAGACACAAGTGATAACTCGAAAATATAAACATGTCGCTATTAGGATATCTGATCTCAATATTTGCGGCAAGTGCTTACTTTGGGACATTACAAAATAAGTAACGAGTACACAGTGCGGATTTTTTTTTTTTTTTGATTTTTTTTTTTTTGCGGGGAAAGGGGTGGGGGGGGGGGGTGCGGGGTAAAAGATCATATATATATATATATATATATATATATATATATATATATATATATATATATATATATATATATATATATATATATACATATACCGAATTTCCCCAAGTATGAGACGCACTTATTTAAAAAAATATAGGATTTAAAAACAGTGTGCACTTTATACAATGGTAGTAGATTTTAACTAAATGATTTGTTAGAAAATATCCCGTAGAATGAATGGAAATCCTGCTGCTGAACGTAAATTGCATAGTCCTCCAACTGAGAAAATAATCCCAGACTGGCTGCAGGAAGAAGAAAACCTACTGAGAATTACGCGCAAGAAGAAGACCATGAGATGCAAGTGGCCTGATTAGGAAAGGAAATGAAGATATGAATTGAAGTGCAATAAAAATTGGCATTTCTAAGCCCACTAAAGAGTCTCGGCATGAGGCAAAAAGAACTGCTGGTGGTAAAGATGTTACTGATTTCAAAGCAGGGCACAAATGGCTTTTCAGCTTCGTGAAACCCAATGTAGTAAGCAAGAGTACACGAACAAGATTTGCCAAAGGGAAGTCTGCAAGTATCAGCACAGAGCTGTTGATAACAAGGGGGTGAAGACTTTAACTGTGAATTTAAGTTGCCATGAAAAGAGGCATTATTTAAAAAAAAAAAAGTAAATTTCAGTAACTTTATACAATCACATTTTCTATATACATATTTCTGGTCCTAAAAACAACGTGCATCTTATTTATGAAAGTTCTTATACTTAGTGAAATACGGTAGTCTGTGCGTGAAATAAATTAGGACTGAAAGACATTAAACAATAAAATAGTAAAGAAAGTTAATGTGAAAGTAAAGAAAGAAAGAAAGAAAGAAAGAAAGAAAGAAAGAAAGAAAGAAAGAAAGAAAGAAAGAAAGAAAGAAAGAAAGAAAGAAAGAAAGAAAGAAAGAAAGAAGAAAGAAAGAAAGAAAGAACTACATACATGAAAGTCACACTGTCAACAAACACATTTTTTATTTCCACCCAACAATCTGCTTGCATTGCTATTTCTTCTACTTCCTGGTTTTAAATATATAAAATTTGTTTAACCATCTATGCACGAAAGCCTTGAACTCAAGTTATGTGTTTGTAATTGTTTGTTTCAGATAAGCTTAAAGCGGTATCTTTCGAAAATCTGACCAGTTAAATTCCACACCTGCACACATAGTTTATAAGAAACTGAATTCCACATTTGAGGTAAAAACACTGAATAGTTCACAGATTCAAAATGTTCTTCTTTCTAAACGCTGTGTTTTTGACAACTGTGCTAGGACAAGCTACGGATCCGACAAAAGTTTGTTTGCCTGACGTTTTTCAGAGTAGTTTCTTCACGCTTGATAACCATGTAAGCATTACTTAGTGTCTCCGAATTGAAGCTGTTCATTATATCCATCTTCTTACATAGCTTTAACTAGTGTTGTTATAAGCATGAAGTTAATTGAGGCAGGCTACAACGCAGCCGCGGCTGTTATGTTTTCACCATGATATTTTTATGCTACTGTCACATCAGGCATATAGTGCTACTCAATTTCTTTTTTGTAGACCAATCATCATTTCAATAAGTGACGTGATCATCATCGCACAGGCCAGTTTTACTTTGCATAAAATGTCCTGTACTTCTCATTATGGCGATCATCATGTTAATACTGCGTGTCGTTGGGTCACCATTTGCTATTGACTGATCAGCTCCCCCTACTTTGTCAGATGCGATCAACTTCATGGTTGCATTTGTAAGATCTGTCCATTCAACCAAGTTCTATATCCAGGTCTTTCTTTGTCACACTCTTCTCCTTCGAACCTCTACCTGGCCCTGTAATGTTTTCGAGAGACTGTTAGTTTTTATTGCATGTCGGTACCATCGCACTTTGCGTCTTTTCAATGAACTTAAAAGGTGTTCCTCTTTTTATTTCCCTTCACTAGTTGTAAACAAAGGAGGACAGTTCTAGTTGTTCGTCCACTTCTGGACTTTTGTCCTGTTCTAGATCTTGAGATTTACATGCACATCCGTTTTACACATTTGAAAAAGATTTAATTAAAGACTATTGGTTCCTTACCTCTTAGGCAAATGTACGCCCACGTCGAAGTAAACACTCCTACAGCGATATGTTTTGCCACTTGCTTGTTAGGGGGCAGCGAATCTATTAAATAATAACTGCTTTTATACACAAGTCGTCGACATGTGGGATACATGTTTTTCATTTTTTGAATCCCCCACCCTAGCTCTTGCCGGGGTCCTGAATATAAGTAAAAAGTAAAGATCCGTTTCCACGCCTTTTAGGCGTATCGGGTATATCGGAAGAGCGCCCATATTTTTACAGACCATCAGCACTCGGTGGGTAATGTAGTCAGCATTACGCCGGCTGTCTTTACTTTCCCAGGACAGCCCATCCTGGTACCCATTCTAGGCTGGGTCGACCTGCGACGGCCCATACCATGATAAAAATCCACTCAGGCCCTGAATATAGCCGGGCCATAAATATGGCCTAACGGCTGAAAGGGGTTTCTTGGACCACTTCAAAGGTGATCATCATCCGCATAGTGGCACTTTGTGTCACCGGGTGTGTATAGCTTGTGTGATGTCCCAGTGGAGTACAAAAAGAGAGAGAG